AAATCCGACATTTTTGTAATACTTTTTACACCCACTCTAATTATTCGCAATAGGAATTAGGACAAAAATATGAGATTTAAACCACTTTGCAATTGTTGAAATAAAGTAAGATAAAAAAAAAATCTCAACGTTAATTCCAAACTAATGTAAGTTGGGCATGACTTTAGATTTTCAAAAATCAAGCTATTAAATTCCTATAGACACGTAATCTTTATATCTTCACAAGTTCGAAATTGACAAAAACAGATAAAGCATCATTTTCCTTATATAGTAAAAAATCAATGAAATAGAGAAAATATCAACAGACTTTCACAATTATTTTCAAAATGTATTGATTTTTATGATTTCCAAAAAAAAAATATATATATATATCTACGTCGATGTTTTATCGATTATTCCATCAACATTTTCATTCGACATTTCTATCAATGTTAACGTCTAAAACCTTGTAAAAAACATTTACTCATTCCAAACTTACACTTAATGATAACATAACAATACAAGTGGATTTTGAAGACGATATAAATTCAAGAAACCAAGCACGCAAAAAGAAGTAAACGTGCGAATTTGAAATTCCTGATCGAGGTTCGAGATAGAATAGTGTTGGATCTCCATATTTGTTCTCAAGCCTACCAACAACAAAAATTACATCTATCATCATCATAAAGAGGTCAAAATAGTAAATTCATAGTAAGAAATTGTGTTAAGTATAGTATATGGTACCATGAAACGCTTTTTATAAAGCTCAACAATGGCTTGAGGATCATACTTTGTTTGCTTGTAGGCATCAATCTTGTCAAACTCCTGCAATAGATTGCATTATTATTATTTCTTAATCTTTTAAACTTTTAGATATTTTATTTTAGTTCTCGAACTTTCCTAAACAATTATTTCGCCATTGTTAAGTATATGCTAAACTCAACTTGGCATAATATGGAGTTCTAGTTGCAATGACCAAAATAGATTTTCACGTAAAGTCAAATCTAAAGTCTAAGTAAGATACGACACTACACAAATTGAAATAAAATAAACATAAAAGTTAAAAGATGCAAAATAGCTCAAGTAAGCCTAACTCATCGGTAATTGACGTATATCTCAAACCAAGAGATTGTGAGTTCGATCCTCATTCTCACATGGTGTACTAAAAAAAATTCCAAAATAGAATTTAAACAAAAACAAAACTCTCAAAATACATACATAACTATAAGTGATTATTGGAATAAGGATATTTCATTTAACAATAACGTAAATTGAACTGAATTACCTCAATCCATACAGCTAGATTAGGCCTTCCTTCTGTGATATCATACTTGAAAACCTCAGATAAGAATACTTGGAACCTTTCTATAAATGTAATGTATGCAATGTCCACCTAAAGAACACAAAACTCAGTTAAGAAAAGTTCAGCAACAATCAATACAAAAGTAATTAGGAAACTGTCAAGTTATACATTACATAAACCATCTCATTACACTTGCATCTACCAAAAGCGAGCATAGCTCATCGGTAATTGAAATATATATCGGTAATTGAAATATATTTCCAACTAAGAGATCGTGAGTTCGATCCCTCACCCCCACATACTTTACTAGAAAAACACTCAGCGTCAATTAATAGTAGAATTACCCCACTGAATTGACCCAAAAAGAATGGCCCATCATCGAATTTCTGGAGAGCATTCTCAAGGTAATCAAATTGAGGACCTAAAGAAAAATCATCAGAATAAATCAGTTATTGTTATAACAATAACTAAAGAAAAGATTGGAGAGAGAGATGAGGGTCCTTTGCCTGCTTCTTTAGCTGGGTCACCCTTAAATGAAGGGTATACTGCTCCAGTAAATGTATCAATATAATTTAGCAACTCTTCACCAAATTCTGTTCTAGCAGGATCCTACATTTTGTTTTTGAATGATTAAGCCAGATCATTAACTAGCATCAACAGGACAATTTCTTTTAAGTGTTTTGAACAGCAGAGCAACTCAAGGAAGATGAGAAGCCTATGGAGTAACACAACTTTTCACTACTCACATTTGGGAAAAGAGAAGGTCCTTCAAAGTTGCTATCTATGTATTTGATCAAATCAAGACTTTCTCCAATTACTTTTCCATTGTGTTCCAAAGCTGGCACCTGAAAATAAGAGGGAATCCCATTGTCACTTCTCAATCAAGTAAGCCAAACATTTACCACAAGGAAAGTACCGACTCGTTCGGTAACGTTTTTGTTTTTTGTTTATGTTTCCTCAATTTTAATAAAGAAAAATGAATTGAACGCCCCAAGATCCATGAATTAAAGTATCATAAAACAATATTTTTATTTATGTTTTAGAATAAATTGGAAATGGGAACAAGAAATAATAAAATTGTTTCGGTTGTTTCCAAAATTTTAATACAAATTTGAGAATATTAAAAAATAAAAATAAAAAGAGAGAGACACATGCTCGTTTGGTAACATTCTTGTTTCTTATTTCTGTTTCTTCATTTTTAACAACGAAAAATGAATTGCATGGCTCAAACGTCCATAAATTCAAGTATCATAAAACAATCTTTTTATTTATGTTTTGAGATAAATTGGAAATGAGAACAAACAAGAAGAAACTCGTTTGGGTTGTTTCTAAAATTTTTATACAATTGTGAGAATGTTCCAAAAAATGAGAAAAGTTAGTTCCAAAATGCTTAGATTTGTGAAGAAAGTTGGAAACAAAGAAACAAGAGATGAGAACGTTACCAAACGGACCCTACATGGTTAGCATGTCTTTAGTCCCCTTTTTGTTTCCAACTGATCTCAAATGTTTTATTTTAATCCCTAAATTTCCAATAACCTTCAAGTCGTTGCCATTGAACTTTTCCATGCATATTTAACATAAATCTCAGTCGCATGTTTTCAAGCTAGATACAAGATTTGGGACATATAAGTGAAAACACACAGTCTGAAATGTCACACTACATGAGGATCAAAGCAGGTTAAAGCAAAGTTCAATAACAAAAAAAAAAAAAAAAAGTATTTAAAAACTATAAGAATAAGTGTGCTAGCAAGCTAAAATTTCAACCTAACCTTGTTTGGAGGGTAGACTTTTTCCTTATACCAGTGAGGCCTATTTTGAATGTTTAGAGGCACTAGCTTAATTTGATCTTGCAATCCCTGCCATCCCCAGAAAACAAGAAGAAAAAATAACGTCCTTAAGGAAAATGAGAAATCAGCAGCTTGTAAACATGAATCTCTTTAAATAACCAAGAACTGAACAGAGAAATGACCTTGTAATTTCTTGTAATCCAAGGACGCTGCGCAAATGGGCAATAGTAAGCCATATACAACCTTCAGAGACAGAACCCCCAAATTGCAGAATCTTAGGGTTAGAGAATTTCTTGAGCGACAATGCACATACAAATTAGTTTTCTAAGCATCAAAACACCAGATTAACAGAGAAATGCGCATAAACAAACAACCTGGTGGTTCCGTCGAAGAGCGGAGGTTGTTCGGCGGTGGCTTCCAACGACGGCGGACGAACTTCCGGCACCACCACAGTTCTAAAGAAGTAAACCAAACAACAGAAACGACAACCAGATTAATCAGCCAAAATAAGAAAAGAGAACTACAAATCCAATCCAAATGAACACAAACAAGAAACTTGTTTCTTCCATTGCGAAATACTCACGGAGTAGCCATAACTTTCTTACGGCGGAGAAATTTGGTAGATGAATTCGGCAGTGTGAGTATCAGGAGGTTTTTGATGGCCGGTGACGAGGAAAGTTGCCGGCGAGAGCCCTTATATAGGCCATCGGAGCAGAGTCGAAGAGTGGAATGGGAGTCGCAAGCACTGACGTGGCAGAGCTGGCTGCTGAGTTTCGTAAAAATACTTTTGATTTATTGTTTTCTTTTTTCAGGAGGACGAACTACCGATTAAAGTGGACTAGTGGTGAACTTTTTGAGGATTATTTTATTTTTCTATTATTATTATTATTATTATTTGATACACTATTATTATTCTTTTGAGAAAGGGGATTATTTTATTATTAGTTTGATACGAAATAATAAAAGAATCCAAACTTTCTTACGTCCTTGGTGACACACTTTTATTTCATCTGCTATGAGAAAAACATCGAGTAAATTTAGCAAAATAGCAATCATATTTGATTGTTTTAAATATAATATTTTTTTCTAAAAAAGTGGAAGTCGAATTTTAAAATAATAATTTTACTCTAATGATATACATCTGTAATATATTTGTAATATACCTAACTACTGATATATGTATGTTATATATATCTGATATATTATTGATATAAGTATCTGATATACTTGTAATATGTATGTGATATATATTTAATATACTACTGATATGAGTGTTTGTGCAATATATATTTGATAAACATCTAATGTATTTGTTTAATATACTACTAATATGAGTATATGATATAAGTGAAAATTTTTGCTATATTTGAAAATTTTAAAAACAGGTGACATATTTTTAAATATATAAAAAAAATTTGCTACCTACTATGATTTTCCTTGATTTAATTTAATATAGGAAAATTATGAACTTAAATAAATAATTAAGATATAAAACCATTAAATTATATACTTGCCAGCTACAACATGTTTTTATCAAGACATCATGAATTCGAACCTTCCACCTCCACTTATTGTATAATTATAGCTTGTTTATTTTTTCCTTCTATTTATTAGTCTTTAATATGTTATTTCTATTTTAAAACAAAATCTTCATCAATTTAGGTTAAACATCCCTAAAGGATAAAGGATAAGAGATCTAAAATTTATAAGATGAATTATATTAATATTGATATAGTATCATGGTCTAAATTCAAGATGGGAGCCTGCCAAGATTTAGCAGTCACTCTCTTAAAAGGCTACCCTATGAATATTTATAATTTACAATACATAAAATTTTCCATTTTTGAAATATTTTTATATGGATTATTACATTATTTTTTTAAAAACTTTTTAAATGTGATATATACACACACAAATTAGTTATACTTTTTAAAATTTTTTAAATCTATTCCATGTAGATGTGTTATTAACTTAAAGTGAATACCGTTCAACTAATAGATATTTCCAACATAAGATTGTAATTTTTAAACAATTTTCTTTTTGTTTCCCGTCATGATCTGTCAATTAAAAATATTGTCCTACAATTAATTTAAGCAGTACTTGGAAATGTTTTTGCTCTTTAAGGATTTAAATTTTCACTGTCATATCCACAATGTTATATACATCATAACCAACCTTTTGTTTTGAATTATTTTTGTAAGCTTCCATACTTCAACATTAAGTAAGGTGTCGATTGAAGGAGGAGAGAATAGAGGAAGGAAATGCCAGAAAAGGAAAGAGAAATTATAACAAAACTTTGTCTATTCATATAAAAAATATAAGTCAGCAAAATTTAATCACCAAATTTAATCACATAAAATTTGTCAAATATATAAACCCGCCAAAAATGAACGAACCGCCAAAAAAAAAGTAAAAAAACCGCCAAACCGGTTCCGCGTTGAAAATATAAAATGTGACAAAAAAA